GTAAATAATTTTTCTACACGACCTGACAAGTTTCATGCTTTTACACTAGAGATTCCTCTTGAAGTATCATAGTTTATACGTAATGTAATCTTGATCGATTTAGTATATATAAAATAGGGTTTTATAAAAGTTATGTTGTAGGAAAAGTGATTGTGTTATGTTATAGAGATTCGTTTTGCGCGCCAAAGTTTTTTTTTTTTTGGTTTCAAAAATTGCGGGTCCCACAAAATATTGTGTGTAGAAAAGTTGTTGTGATCATGTTAAATAATAGATATAAAACCCTATAAAATAACAATATGGGATTAGTATCACACCCAAATAATTATGTAATGTGACGAAATAAAATAATATGAGAGCCAATATTCGCATGACACATGAGATATTCCCTTCAAATGTTAAATTACGGAATTAGTTACTCCAAAATAATTTATTAGCGTGAAAGGTGTCCTGACAAGAACTAGAATAATACATTAAGGATCATGAATCATTTCTTGATATATACTGGAATAATTTATTAAGAATAACATCTATACACGTTTGCCTGTAAGAATAATGATGCGATGGATGTTTAATATTTTTCTAGTTAATAATGCAACTGAAATTCAAACCTGCAAGTTACTACATATATGATCTAAATCATTCTATTAACCCACTTTCAATTCCTTATATATTTTTTGAGCACAATTCACAATCTTATCAAACTAAAAAATAATACACTACCCAAGTTTAGAACTGTCTCTTCGAGTACAGTGATTATGGAGCTACATATAGCACCGTATTTCAAGCGATTATATATTGGATACTCATTTCAAAATTAGTTATTTTCAGAAATAACACTTTATAATAAAATAATAATAAAATAAATATTATTGTTGTGTAAAAGTGTTATAAAAAATATGTATGTCTCTGAGTCACTGTATACCGCACTTTACTATAAATACTTTCTATTAAATTACAATTTATGTACATCGCAATCATATTATACAAAATTAGTTTTAAGAACGACCCTTCATTAATACAACGGTGTATGACCTTTTTACCCAAAAATAAAATAAAATGGAGTATGACCTTTGATTCTAATTAATCAATTTTAAAAGTACCTCTGTAAATTTTGTAGTCCTAATATAGATAAATTTATTAGATTAGATTATAAAGGTGACTTGTTTAGCATAAACTAGCTCGAATGTTACCTTAAGACAAACAATTATAAGGAAAATATTTTCTGCTGTTGCTAGAAAAAGTAATCTCTTATTGTTCATACATAAAATAATGCGCCACTCTCTTTTATTTTATTTAAAAAAAAAAATGAACCCCGTATATTTGTATATTTATTACAGGTGTCTCGTTTTTTTTCATAATTATAATAAAAAACACAAGATCAGAAAGATAATTCAATTTACACTTCAGATACTATATTTACTTTTTAAGGTAGAAAGATAGATTGGTACGTAGAATCATGCGTATAAATGATTATCGGAAAATGTTACAAGTCTCACATTGGTTGTATAGGAAATTAATGTGGGGTTTAAAGGGCCTTGGGCACCCCCATCCTTTGAGCTAGCTTTTGGGGTGGTGACCTCAAGGTCCGTAACAATTGGTGCTTTCATTGAGAGTTGAGACCACAGAAAAGGCTACCTATAGGCTGGATTAAGGTGCCTTTGGGCACTGAATACTGATAGGTGAGTGAAGCCGCCCAGAGGGGGAAAGGGCTACCGTCGGGTCAGTGTCGATAGAGTGAAAGCCGCCGTGGACGTCGGCCCTTAAAGAGGTGGCAATGTTACAAGTCCCACATTGGTTGTATAGGAAACTAATGTGGGGTTTAAAAGGCCTTGGGCACTCCCACCCTTTGAGCTAGCTTTTGGGGTGGTGACCTCAAGGTCCGTAACAGAAAAATTATTTGTGATTTAAAAGAAGGTAAGTTATGTCCTTTTAATTTTTTTACTCTATGTATTTTCGGTAGTACATAATTATAATATGAAAAATTATTTTTTTCCTTCTCCTCGGTCACATTAACTGATGTGTAAAGTGAAAAAAAACTTTTCATATTATAACTATGTACTATCGAAAATACATACAGTAAAAAACTAAAAGGATCACAACTTACATTATTTAAAAGAACACACACTAAACCCTCGTTACCTAAAGGGACATAGAAATGGAAAAAATAAATATATAATCTGAATATAAATTAAAAATTAATCCCCTCACTTCAAAATATTTATCATTTATAATTTTCAAAATAATTAATAAAATAATTAAGTATTCTCAATTTTTAAAAAATATAACTATATTTGAATAATTTATTCTTTTATTCGATCAATACTTTCTCATTTCACTTAATGAAATTAAAAAAAAATATTAATATCTTCTTAATTCATGACAAATAATTTGAAATAAGTTAAAAAATATTAAAATATAATTATTTTAAAACTGAGAAAATATTCGCATTAACATATATTAAAATTAAACTTTAAATAAATATAATTTTTTTATCTGACTTTAAATTAGTAATTTTTTATATTTATTTTTTTTGTTATTCTAATCACCTTTTAAATCCCGAGGGGCTCGTCCTAAAAATAGTCAAATAGTCAAACATTTTTTTTTGTCTAACTTTTGAATCACCTTCAAGATACCTACCTCATCAGGAAACGTTTTTTTTCCTTTTTCATTTCTTGGTAATAAATCTCCTCTTTATCTAAAGTGGAGCAATAACCAGTGAAGTTTCCAGTTGTTTCCTCGCCCTTATTTATTTACTAACTAATTTTTCTATTAAATCTAGAAATCATGAGAAGAAAGTACTCTTTACAGTTTACAGATACAGTGATCAGGGATATTCGGCTAATTCTCTCTACCATTTTTAAATTGCATCAACTATATAATATATGTATCGAAAGGACCAATAATGGAGCGTATGGATCAGCAGGGCATCACCAATGACGGTCTGTTAGTATGAACATTTTGGGGGAAGAAGAAAAGAAAGAAAGGACATGTGGGGTTAAGGAGAGTTGGATTGACTCACAAAAAATAAAAAATAAAATTTTATTATGGGACCCATATTTTTTACATTTCTGAAAAAGAAGAGATGATAAATTGCCGTGGATTTAATATTTTTTATGTAAATAAATTCATTGAATAAAAACAATAACTTACTTTATTATGTATTTATATTTATATTATTTTTTTTGAAAAAACTAAATAAAGAAAGAGAATACGAACCTATTTGATTTCTGTTTCCAAAAACGATTTTTTAATTTTTAAAATAAAAAAATCTGTTTGTTAAGGTTTGTGTTGTAAAAGTTATTCTAAATTTTTTAACTGTTTTTTATTTTATAGAATAAGATTTAAAGAATATATCTTAATTATTTTAAACTTTAAAAAAAAATATAGAAAACATCTACTTTATTAATTATTTTACAAAACAATTAAAAAAAACCAAAACCCTATATCTTTCTTTCCAGCGAGGCGGCGAATAATCAAACTATGAAAATTTTCCACATCTCTCTCTTTATGATATCAAATAAATTTTAGAGTAAATATCTTTTTAGGTCTCTAACAAAAAATACGGTTCTCACTTTAGTCTCTTACAAAATAAATTAGTCAGTTAGTTTCTAACAAATTCAAAGTGGACCAATTTTAGTCCTTTTGAGGGATTAATATGATTCTTTTTTGAATTTGTGAGGGATCACAATTTCAACTAAATGAGTCCACTTTGAATTGTTTAGGAACTAACTGACTAATTTATTTTTATAAGAGACTAAAATGAGGACCGTATTTTTATGTTAGAGACAAAAAAATATTTATTGTAAATTCTAACAGAAGTTATAACGGGCCCTCTCTCTCTCTTCATGATATCAAATATTATAATGTGCCTCATAATGGTAAATGACTCTCTTATCCTTACGGATTTTCCTAGCAATTAATACCGCAAATACATGAGCCAAATAGTGGCGGTCCGTGATTGCAATTTTTTTTGTCCCCTCACGATTAAATGTTCAAATCTTCTTGTTACCTTAGATGAATTTCGTTTGGGACCAGTATCAGCATCTTCGTCATAAAATTATTCTCATTTCTATTTAAAAGCAGTTTGTAAAAGAGAATAAAATCTCTCATATACGATGGAGATATAAGAAAATAAAAATTGGAAATCCTAAACATAAAAGAAAATACATTAGATTCATAAAAAAATTAGCGAATATAAACAGCAATGAATTAAATTATCAGGATATAGTTGAACTATTATTACAACACCTCACTTATAACTTGTTGTGAGGTTCAGGTCCCGCTAATGCCGCTAGATAATATTTTGTGAGAGTAAATTTCAACATAAAATGTATAAATTAGAGTATATTCATTCTTAACTCAATTTAAATTATATTAAAAATTAAAAATAAATATATCCTTATTTATACATATAAAAAAAAGGAGTTTTAATAATTATAAGCAAGTTGGGGGTATGATTTTGAATTAAATATTAAATAATTGACTCATTATATGATTTGATTCCCACATGGCCACAATGGTACCGAAATCAAGATATACACCTAAGCTGGTGGGAACAATGACCGAGCAGTACAGTGAGTTTGATGATTTTAACAATCACAATTGTTACCATCTTACTGGTGGGAATAGACCGGCGTGTGGGCTTGTTTGGCATACTATCACATAAAATCCGTGTGCGTATTAATAATGATGCGAAGTAGCAAAGGAAAAAAAAATCAAAAAAGGGATGTAAAGAAATACATGAAGCAAGCAGTTTGTGAAAGAGAAGAGTTGACCTAAAAGTCTGCACCATCAAGTCCAAGAATGGGCATATACCACAGATGCGTGCGTTGATTCTGGATTTTAAAGCCATCCCTGGTATGTGTGTGTGATGCCGCTTTGTATATATTGCTGCTCACACCCTCTCTCCATACCACTTCATTCCCAACACAACTACTATTTCTCTATCCTCCTTCAACCTTGTTTTGATAAGCAGGTGAACTCTCTCTCTCTCTCTTGTTGTAGTGTGTGATGATATATACATGGAACCTGAAAGAGAGTTCCTGTCTTAAGAAGAGCATCCCTTAGTGGGAGGCCCACTTTTTGAGCACTTAGGAAGCACACACCCACCTTTGGGGATTATAAAATAGTAATGGTAACATTTCCACCTTTCAAATTCTGGGAGATCTTTTTATCCATATGATACTAGGATGCCAATATTATGTTTCTTTTGCCCAACATCCACCACAGGCCCCTGACTTTGTCTCTGGATTTTCCATCACTCTAGTCTTTCTCTCTTTACAAAATAAAGGTATTTTAAGGCTTGCTCGTTTTGTTAATTCCCATTTCTTTTCTTCTCTTGATTGATCCCTTGTAGATATTCCATTAAACAATACCAAACTTGTCCCTCGCGCTCCTCCCACAACAAAAAACCAATCTTCGCTTCACTTTCTCCATCTAGAATTCAATTCATCCAGAAATTGTAAGCACAAATCCTCTGCCTCTGGCTAATTTTATTTTTTTTTGGTATAATGCTTCTTTTTTTTTTTTTGCTTCTAAAATTTAGGATGATAAAATTTTTCCAGTGCCTATACTTCTTCTGTGTTAACCAATCATGATCTTTTTCCAGTTTCCTCGTGCTATTGATTCTCATGACCTGCTACCAACTTGGTTCAGTAGGTTTAGTCACCGATCTGCAATGTTCCTCCTCCTCCTCTCTCTCTCTCTCTCTATTACTGTTTCCTTTTGGTTTGGTAGTGAGTAGGGACACGAAGAAAGAAAATAATACCAAATTACCAACTATCTTCTAATTCTCAAGCTGACTTAGGTTCAACCTTTCGAATATTATAAGAAATTCGGGGAAAATGGTTGAAACCTTATCAGAATCAGTCTCGAACTCGGATAATACGGTCCTTGTTTAGTAAGAGTCAAATCCGTACAAATATAGAGATAATAATTCTAATTTAGGATTTTTTTAACTTTGTGCCGCTAGCTGATGACTATAAATATAGTTGAAAAGTATGGGTTGTTCATCAACTATTGCATCATCCCGACAAAGATCAGCATCAGCTTCATTTTTTATTCAAACCTTTATTAAAGTTGTTAATTTCTTACAAAAGTCTGCCATGCTTAATTTATAATGTTCTTTATTGAAATTGGTAAACAAGTTGGAACTCGTTTGTATTATTCCTTCTTTGTTATTAAAAATACCAGTTTTTTTTTCCCCCATAAAAATAGTAATAAAGGGAAGAATATGGAATTGCTTGACTTATATGTTTTTCTTGTGCAGGAAACCACTAATCACTACTGCTGCTTGGGGTAACATCAGGTAGCACGCGTAGTGATGGCTGGACAACTAGGAGTACTTAATGCACTGGATGTGGCAAAGACACAATGGTACCACTTCACAGCAATTGTGATTGCTGGAATGGGTTTCTTCACTGATGCCTATGATCTCTTCTGCATTTCTCTTGTCACTAAGTTACTGGGGAGGATATATTACACAGATTATACCAAACCGAAGCCTGGTGTTCTTCCTCCTAATGTGCAAGCTGCTGTGACTGGTGTCGCACTATGTGGCACTTTAGCTGGCCAGCTTTTCTTTGGTTGGCTTGGTGACAAGTTGGGAAGGAAAAAGGTTTATGGCATAACTCTTATGCTCATGGTAGGGTGTTCCGTTGCCTCGGGGCTCTCATTTGGATCTAGCCCAGATGGTGTCATGGCCACACTTTGTTTCTTCAGGTTCTGGCTTGGGTTTGGGATTGGTGGTGACTACCCTCTTTCAGCTACTATCATGTCCGAATATGCTAACAAAAAGACACGAGGGGCATTTATTGCTGCAGTGTTTGCTATGCAGGGATTTGGAATCTTGGCTGGTGGAATTGTTGCCTTGATTATCTCGTCTGCATTTGACCACAAATACAACGTTCCTTCCTACAAAGAAAACGCACGAGCATCAATGGTGCTACCTGCCTTTGATTACGTTTGGCGTATGATTTTGATGTTTGGTGCTGTCCCAGCTGCACTTACATACTACTGGCGTATGAAGATGCCAGAGACAGCTCGTTACACGGCCCTTGTTGCCAGGAACGCAAAACAAGCTGTTTCCGACATGTCTAAGGTGTTACAAGTTGAACTTGAAGCTGAAGAGGAGAAGGTGCAGGAATTGCTCGAGAAACAAGACCAGAAGTTTGGTTTGTTCAGCAAGGAATTTGCCAAACGCCATGGGCTGCACTTGTTGGGAACCACAAGTACTTGGTTCTTATTGGACATTGCCTTCTATAGCCAGAACCTTTTCCAAAAGGACATTTTCACTGCCATTGGATGGATCCCTGCTGCAAAAGAAATGAATGCAATCCATGAGGTTTATAGGATTGCAAGAGCACAAACACTTATAGCACTATGCAGTACTGTGCCAGGTTACTGGTTCACAGTGGCCTTTATTGATTACATGGGCCGTTTCGCGATCCAATTGATGGGTTTCTTCTTCATGACCGTATTCATGTTTGCTCTCGCTATACCTTATGATCACTGGACCAAGAAAGAAAACAATATTGGGTTTGTTGTGATGTATTCCCTCACCTTCTTCTTCGCCAATTTTGGTCCGAATGCCACTACATTTGTTGTGCCAGCAGAGATTTTCCCAGCAAGGCTGAGGTCTACTTGTCATGGAATCTCAGCTGCTGCAGGAAAGGCAGGAGCAATTGTGGGTGCATTTGGGTTCTTATATGCTGCCCAAAGCAAGGACTCTTCCAAGACTGATAAAGGTTATCCAAAGGGTATTGGGATTAAGAACTCCCTCATTATGCTTGGTGTGATTAACTTCTTTGGAATTATATGCACCTTATTAGTACCGGAATCAAAGGGAAAATCACTGGAAGAGTTGAGTGGGGAGAATGAAGAAGATGGTCCTGAGGCTATAGATGTGGCAGCGTCTTCTAGGACAGTTCCAGTTTAATCATTGTCTCTAGTTCAACTTTCAAATTATGCTAGCTATTATTGTTATGTGAAAATTTTAGTTCTGATTTTCTACTGCCAGATGCACAATAATAATGATGTAGATATTTACTTTTTGGTGCTGTAACTTTAAATCAACTACTGAGTGTTTATGTATTCCATTCTTGTTTATAATTAAGATTGCTATTTTTAAATTATTATTTCTGTAGCAAAATGCATTGAAGAAAAGTTTTGTCCCGAGTTTCTTTATTTTGCAGGTGACATCTCTGTAATTATAAAGAAGTTTTATTTTATCCTAACTTCAGATCAATCCGTAACAATAGACTGGGGACATGTTTATTATATAAAGAAAAATTCTTGAACTACTCGCATGCCATAGGTACATAATGAGAATTCCATGGTCTCAAATAGGATAAGATTAAGGATTTCTCCATGTTTGGATGATGAAATTAAGAATGCAAATATACACAAGAAAGGTGAATTGTCTGATTTCTTAAAGTTGTTTTTGAAAACAGATATGAAGGACTATATTAGGGAAAGAAGGAAAAGAGTATCAGATAGGTAAAAGGAAGTAATAGTGATTCATCCATCCAAATTACAGAAACGTGGAGGACTAATATACTAGTCTCCCACAGCATTCACGCTACCTATCTATCTTAGATGTTACAACTAAAAGAGGATGCTAACAACCTAACAAATTTCTAACTATGTTCCTAGTTTACAAATAGTCATGTGCCCAAGCAGGTAACTTCTTCTCACGCACGGATCTTCTGTTATGGCCCGTAACAGATTATTTACTCTCAAGTTGTACAAAGCGGATTTCACAAAGGAAGTAAGGAGATTGAACAAAAACTTAGTGCAAAACAACATAACATGCAGTCACAAACGACATAGTCAAGTTATCTGATGCAGAAACAAAATTAACTAAAGTTAAAACCTTCTCCTTCCTTTCCTTTTCCACTTAATATTGACTCTCAAACACACCCTTAAATTTTTGATACTAAATTCACGCTGTCAATTTTTATTTTTATTTCTTATTCATTACTTTTAATTGCAATTATTTATGCATTAATTAAGTATAAAATAAAAGTATTATTAATTAAATTTTGAATTTAATAAAAATTTATTTTATGGACATATATAAATTTAGATTAAAAGTAGTTAAAGAAGGATATAAGTCGACACTGAATATTTCTACTAAAAAATATTGACACTAAATATGATAGTAACATCGGCCCTTGAACATATTTCAAACGTCAAATATACAAACAAAAATAGTTTGGGCCGGAGTGATAACCATGTCTGACCGGTGTTGTTAAAATTGGACCAAACTTGATGATGGTTAGACTGGAAATTGGACCCTTAGCCCAGTATTCTAACTGAATTTATAGCTTGACTATTTTAAATCAATCAAAATCAGTTAAAATTCAATTGAATTGGTTAAATAAACTGATTACCAAATTTCTTTTTCCAATCACATCTTGTAAATATTTTTACGTATTTTACATTTTCCTATTTGAATTATTTTCATGATATCATTTATTGTATTAACTTAAAGAATTAAATTAAACATGAAATCTTGACAATAAACTGTCTAATCTAGTTTTAATAACATTGGTTGAATCTTTGGTTGCTTGGAGCTAAATAATTTGATTACTAAGCTAACATGACCTGACTTCCGAGTTATGAGTAGGACCTCTAGAGTCTAGTGGTCAAAATACCCACAAAATCGAATTCTTGTAAATAAGAGGGAAGCAATAGGTTTTAAGTTACTCAGATACTCAAGTGAGTAAATATACATGGTAGCTAGGAGTGTTGAGAGAAGGGGAGATTGAAATCCTTTTACCTTTGTGAAAGTGAAGGCTCTTGTTCATAAGGTATGCAAGTTACCTATGATCGGTCAAAGTGGTTTCCTTTAGGCTTTGTTTGAGAGTTGGTTTTAGGAGGGAAAGGGAAGGAAAATGAGGGTTTTACTAAGTCCTTCCCTTGTTTGGGAGTTTAAAAAAAGGAAGGGAAAAATTTGGAGATTTTTACTAAACTCTCCTTCTTCTTCTTAAAATTAAAGTTCCTCCAATTTGGAGGGTTTGAAGAAAAAAATATTAAAAATTACTTATCTATCCTTAGTATTAAAATGTGAAAACTATATAATAGTGAATCATTTTTAAATGTAAAATTATTAGAAAAGTCTCAAATACCGTCATAATTTATCGACGAAAATTATTTCGTCAAAAAACAGTAATGAAATTTTTGATAAAAATCATATACGTCAAAAAATTTCCGTCAAAACTAAAGACGAAATTATAGACAGAACTAGATTTTGCCCTAATCACTAACATAAATTTTGTACGAAAAAAAGTTTGCAATCAAAATTACTGATAGAATCTAAATTCCGTCGAAACTTTTAACGAAAATATTTCTGTCCAAAATTTTGACGAAACACATTTCCATCGAAAAGTTTCGACGTAAAAAAATTACGTCAAAATTTTTTACGAAAAATATTTCCATCAAAAATTTGACGAAAAATATTTTCATCAAAATTTGTGACTAAAAATATTTCTGTAAAAAAATTTGACGAAATTTTTTTTTGTCAAAATTCTTTACGGAATTTAAATTTTTCCAAAATATTTCACAAAAAAACATATTCATCGAAATTTTTGACAAAAAATATTTGCATCAAAATTTTCAACGAAACACATTTCTATCGAAAATTGTTGACAAAAAAAAAATTTCAACAAAATTCTTAATAGAATTTAAATTCCGCACAAAGTTTTCGACGGAAACATTTCCTTTAAACTCTTTGGCAAAAAAAATTTCTGTCGAAATTTTTAACGAAACACATTTCCATCGAAAATTTTCGACGGCAAATATTTGCGTCAAGTTTTTTGATAAATAACATTTCCATCAAAATTTTCAACGGAACGCATTTCTGTCAAAAAATTTCGACAGAAAATATTTCCGTAAAAAATTTTGACGAAAAAATATTCTGTCAAAATTCTTTACAGAATCTAAATTTCGTCGAAAGTTTCGAATGAAATATTTCCCTCAAAATTTCTAACAAAACAATTTTTGTCAAAATATATTTCCATCGAAATTTTAAAATTTTTGACAGAATTCTTTTTCGTTTAAAACATTTGATGGAGGAAATGTCAAAACTTTTGATGGAAACTAAATTTCGTCAAAAATTTCGTTAGAAAATTTATTTTTGTAATAATTTTCATCGGTTGAAAAATTCCGTCGCTTTTCGACGAAAAGTATTCCGACGAAAAAAATAATTGTGATGAAATTTTCATCGTTTGCAACGTAGAAATTTCATCGAAAATGTTATCTTTTTTGGTGTTGTTAAAAGTACATAAATAATTTTTTTAGAAATTTTAAATTTAATTTATTTTGTAAAGTATAATAATTATATTAATTCTAAAAAAAGGATAAAATGATAAAAATATCTCATTGACCCTTCATTGTCCTTCCATTCTTTTTTTTTTTTGACTCCCAAACAAGGAAAGATGATATCCTCCAATTTTCTACCCTTCGTTCTCCTCCCACTTGGATCCCCTTTCTTCCATTCTAAACTCCCAAACAATGTCTCAGTGGCTGTATTGATCCCAAGTTTAGAGGATATCAATTTGGTCCTTGATCTGTTAGGTAAATGAGGTAAATTAATAAAATAAAATTATGTGTAAGTTTGGCACGTGTCATGCGAAGCATAATTTATTCGACCCGAAATAAAAGAACTCCATCCCTTCAAGAAGTGAATTGAGGGGATCGGGCCGTTGAGCCAAATTACGGATAAAACGGGGCCCGCAAAATTAATGTTAACTTAAGAGCAGCTTGCAGACTCACATGAAATTTTTAAATTTAAAAACTGTATCCTTGCAAATTATAACTTAAATAAACTTCTAAATGTCCACGTTGAAAAAACTTGTTTTAAATTAAAAGCATACCAATTTTATAAAATCAAACTTCAAATTCATATTATCAGTAATTTTAAATTAATTAAATAAATGAGTTAAAACAAGTAAGCTCCTGATACAAGCGAGGAAAAACGACCAAATTTTCACTATTTACCTAAAATGGTATCAAAATGCCATGCTCCAAAATTTTTTACCAAAGTGTCACGTCATCAGTCTCGTCACGCCAAGTGACGAGTTAAAATTGGACACGTGACAACACCTAGTTGACAACGTAACTAGCTGCGCAGTGCAGCTAGATTACGTGACAAACAACTCCTGCCACCGTCTGCCACGTGGCCTAAAGCGTTGGGCTACGTGGCCTAAAGCGTTGGGCTATGTGGTGTCTTACATGGCCAAAATTGATAGACTGCGTAGCTCTTTATGTGGCGGCTGTTGAAACACTCAACGCATATGTGACACGTGTCACATTGTGGAAAACCCGCTGGCTCTAGTTACGTGCATGTGTGGCATGTGTCATTTAAATGAAATTAAATAATATTAATTTAACACTCCTAAATCTAATTACTTAATATTTACAAAGAATCTATTTAAATTAACATTTACAAATAATTAATCTTTATGATCAATTTAAATTAATATAGATTAAATTAAAATATTTCAATTAACAAACATAAAATATATTACATTAATTAACAACCCTCGATTAAATTAAGTAACGTAAAAATTCAGAATTTTTTAACATAACACAAACTACATTAAATTATTTTAGTTAACACCCCTAAAAATAACTAATTAATTATTCTAAAATAATTAAAATTAATATACAATGAATTAAACTAAAAATTAATATACAATGAATAAAACTAAAATAATTAACATTAATTTAATTTAGTTTAATTCTTTAACACTACTCAATTATATTAAATTTTTTTAACCGTTACAAACAATTTCAATTAGCATAAATTAATTTAAATTAAATTAAATTAAATTAAATTAATATAGTTGACACTCCTAAAAATTATCAAATGATAATTGTAAAATAATTTAATTAAATTTATACTAATTTACACTATATTAATTAACAAACATAAAAACTCTTAAACTCATTAACACTCATAACTCATATTAAACTCATAAATTATTTGTAAATGTTAAGTAATTAAATTTGAGAGTGTTAAATTAATGTTATCTAATTTCATTTAAATGACACACGCCACACAAGCACGTAACCAGCGGATTTACCACAGCGTGACACATGTCACCATGCGTT